TCTATTTGCAAATGATACAGTGATACAAAGGAAGCTTCAAAAAAACAAGATTGCTACTTCAATTGTCAGGTCCACTGCTGCAAAAGTTTAGTTGAGCTCCTGTTAATTATATATATGTCGCATAGCTCTGAGTTCACTCCCCATTCAAGAACAATCAGCAGATCACTAGTGGCCCTCTCAGCAACATCTGCCTATTTGCACAATATTCAAACCACTGCAGTCATTGAAGAAGCCAAATTTTCATTTGCATATATAGACAGTTCCAAAATTTAAAAGGAACAGGGCAAAAATGAAATGCTGCCTATTTGCACATAATTCAAACCACTGCAGTCATTGAAGAAGTATTTTAACCATTTGCATATATAGAGAGTTCCAAAATTTAAAAGGAGCAGGGCAAAAAATGAAACGACAATATAATTGGAGTTATTCTTCCCAAATTCACCACTCTTCAAATTTCATTTGGTGTCCCTTGAAACATCAAAAATTACAAGCAATCCTTTATCGAGAGAAGGCATTGGAAAGTGAATGCACATGCGCCAAAAACCATAGACAAAAGCCAACAAGAATAAAACAGCACCAAATCCAGCACTTTCTTTTCGAACAGCTGAAAACAAATAAATAAAAAATGAATAAAAAGAAAGAATAAGACAATAATAATTACAAAAAATTTACTTCAACGAAAATCTACTTGAGAACTTGACTCCAAATACGTTGGTGTTATTATTGCAAAAAATGCACCAAAAGGCAACCTATAATATCTGAAGTAGTGAACACGTAAAGGATATATATACCGAGGCAAGGCAATCTTTTTTTCAGCAAAGCTGTAATTACTTAAAAATTGAATTACAAAACATGAAAAAATGTGGCCTCAAAGTCCAAAACCAATCAATGTGACATAACTAAGTAAACCCAGTCCAAAATCCTCAAAATAATGCCAACATACGTAAAAACATTAAGATTCCGACAAAACAAAATAGACTAACCTATTGCCTCAACTACATGGGATGTCCATCAAACATCAAAAATTTGTGTCGCCTCGATCCGACAAATTTGGATGGTACAACGAAAAACCATGAGCTAGAATAGACATCTAACTTCCATCAGTATATATATGAAACTATCCAAATGAATGACTTTAATATATGTAATGAATGTGAACCTACCTTGCGAATTGTGTTCGACATTTCTTGACGACGAATTCAT